AAATTAAGAAAACAATTCCATTTATAACAGTAATAAAAGAATAAAATACTTAGGAATAAATTTAACCAAAGAGGCAAAAAACTTATACATGAAAGCTATAAAACACTGCTGATAGTTCCAATTAGAAAATCAAAATAAATAAATAACACTTGCTGAAAGAAATTAAACATCTAAATAAATGGAAAGATACCTCATGTTCATGAATCAGAAGACTTAATATTAGATAACACTATTCAAAGACATCTACAGAGTCAATGCAATCCCTATTGAAATACCAACAACATTTTTTGCAGAAATAGAAAAACCTATCCTAAAACTCATATGGAATCTCAAGGGACCCCAAATAGCCAAAACAATCTTGAAAAAGAAGAACAAAGTTGGAGGACTCACACTTCCCCAGTTCAAAGCTTATTACAAAGCTACAGTCATTAAACAGTGTGGTACTGGTGTAAGAATAAACACACAGACGGATTAAATAGAGTCCAGAAATAAACCCTCACACATATGTGGCCAACAGATTTTCAACAAGGGTGCCAAGACCATTCAATGGGGAAAGGACAGTCTTTTCAACAAGTGGTGCTAGACGACTGGATATCCATATGCACAAGAATTAAGTTAGATTCTTGTCTTACACCATGAAAAAAAATCAACTCAAAATGGCACACTTAAGAGCTACAAGTAGAAAACTCTCAAAAAGAAACAGAAGAGCAAATCTTAACCCAGGAATCCAAAGTTACAGTGAGCTATGAGGGCGCCACTGCACTCCAGCCTGGGCAACAGGACAAGACCCTGTCTTGGAAAATAAATAAATAAAAAAGAGCAAATCTCCATGATCTTGGACTTTGGCAATGATTTATTGCATATGGCACCAAAAGCACAGGCAACAAAAGAAAAAATGGGCAAACTGAGCCACGTGAAAATTATGCATGAAAAGACACGACCAACAGAGCAAAAAGCCAACCCACAGAATGGGAGAAAATATTTTCAAATCATATATCTGATAAGGGATTAATATCCAGAATATACAGAGAACTCTCAAAACTCAACAACAAAAACAAAAAGCCCGATTCAAAAATGGAAAAGGACTTGAACAGACATTTCTCCAAAGAAGACACACAAATGATCAATGAACACATAAAACATGCTCAACATCACACCATTAGGGAAAAGCAAATCAAACCACAATCAGATACCACTTCACACCCGTCAGGATGGCTGTCTGAGAAACAGACAGACAGAAGTAACAAGTGTTGGCAAAGAAATGGAGAAACGAAACCTCATACGCTGATGGAGGGTTATGTTAGATGGTGCCACTATGGAAAAACAGTTTTTTGGTTTCTCAAAAAGCGACACAGAATTATTACTATATTACCTAGCAATTCCACTTCTGGGCATACACCCGTAAGAATTAAAAGCAAGCACTTAAACAGATACCTGTACACCCGTGTTCACGGCAGCATTACTCATGACAGACGAAAGGCGGAAGCAACGCAACTGTCCACTGATGGATGGATGAATAAACGAGATGTGGTCTACACACACAATCAAACATTATTCGGCCTTAAAAAGGAAGGAAATTCTGACACTACAATATGGAGGAACCTCGAAAACACGGTATTCAGTGACGTAGTCCAGATACCCAGGACAGACAGCGCATAACTACACTGTGTGAGGGACCTGCAGTCAGCACGTTCACAGAGACGGAAGGTAGAACGGAGGTCACTGGGACTGGAAGTGGGGGGCTTGCTTAGTGGGTGCAGAGTTTCATTTGTACACAATGAAAAGAGATCTGGAGGTGGATGGCGGCTGCGGTTGCACATTACGAATGCATTTAATACCACTGAACTCAACATTCAAAAATGGCTGAGATGGTAAATTCTAGGCGAGGCGCGGTGGCTCACGCCTGTGTCCTAGCGCTCTGGGAGGCCGAGGCAGGAGAATCGTTTGAACCCAGGAGTTTGAGGTTGCAGTGAGCTGCCCTCTACCTGGGCCAACTAAGACTCTGCCTTAAAAAAAAGGGAAAAAAAACGATGGTCAATTTTATGGTATCTGTATTTTACCACAGTAAAAAAGAGAGAGGCGGAGTAAGACAGAGACAGAGAAAGTTGATCCCACACGTTAAGGCTGTTCTTGCGCCAGAGCGCGAGGAGCCATGAAAGCAGCGTTCTGGAACAGGTCCCTCGGCAACGGCACCAGCACCAGCTGAGGCTCTTGCGCGTGAGCCCCAGGGCCAACTGCTGGATGTTCTTCCAGTACACACTCGAGGCTGAGAAGCCACCACAAAAGAACACTTAAGATACAGAAAGAGGATGAGCACTTGTAAGAAAAAAACTGCAGAACAAGACCTCATTTTTCTAAATACATGCATTTACTCAAGCGCCCAGCAAGAGGGCTGGATGAAGCACAGCTCCTGCCCAGAACCCGCAAGCCCCAGCACGCTGGCCAGGAGACGCCCACGGTTACGCGAGAAGAGCAGTGGCAGGTCCCAAACCGTGTGACACTCGTCTTCGAGGCAGGTGCTCCTGAAGGCACCTCAGCACTTCTCCAGGATGGGAGTGGACAGGGACGTGCGTTTCTGTTGTTTCACTGAGAGCAACAGCATCTCACCCTTGTTCAGTTTTTAAAAGGACATTAATAAATTAACACTTTTGAGAACTGAAATGGGATGACTGCCTCATTCTGCCCCACACAGCGACTGGCGGAGGTCGGGCCCCCCCGACCAGAAGTGAGCGCTTCTCACCTGGCAGAGGGAAAACGTGGCGGACACGACCCCGATCAGGACGTTCAGTGCGTCCTTCACCAGCTCGCACTCCTTCACCAGCACGGGCTGCGGGGCCTGCAGGAGGCCCCCGCTGAGCATCTGCAGCTCGCCTTGGCGGAGCCTGCAGGACCTGTCGAAGGCGTCCCTTCCTGCCTCCGTAAGGTAGGGCTCCTCTCTGTGGCCAGGGGGGCTGTAGGGAGACAGAAGACAGCTGTAGGCAGACGCAGTGACCAGGCCTGGCACCAGGTGCGCGCTCTTAGAAGGAACACTCAGAACCAACTAGGAATGAACAGAAGGAAGAGAGTGATTCAAAAACGATAAACGCCTATGAAATACAGCCAGGTATGAATGCCGCCCGGCTGCCCAGCCCTCCCATCAGCACCCACCCGCCTCGAGGCGGACTGAGATCAACTCCATCCATCTGGACAACTCTGTGTGGAAAAGCGTCCAGGGCACCTGTGGGGGCGCAGGAGTGACAGGGAGTGTCCCCACTAGCCCAGCCCTGGAATAGCACCCACAGGCCACACCAGGGGTCCTGAGGATGACGACTCACTCACAAAGGGCTCTTCCGTGAGCAACACGAGGCTAGCACACCCACGCTCATAGCACCATTATCCACAACGGCCAAAAGGTAGAAGCAACCCAGGTATCCAATGAAGAGCGCACGGATAGGCCAGTGCGGTCCATCCGCACAATAGCATGCTCATCAGCTTTGGAAGGGGAGGAAATTCTGACACATGCTGTGGCAGGGGTGACCCTTGAGGACACTGTGCTGAGTGAAATGAGCCAGTCACAAAAGGACAAATACTGTATGACTCTACTCATATGAGGTCTCTGTGGTGGTCGCAATCCTAAAGACAGACAGTACGGTGGCTGCCAGGCATGGGAGCAGGAGTGAGAGAGGAGCAGTTTAATGGGAATGGAGCTTCAGGTTTTCCTCTTCCTCAGCAAGACGGAAAGGTTCAGCAGATCTGAGCCTCAACAGTGTGAATGCACGCAGCACGACAGAACCGCACGTTCAGAAAAGGTTACGATGGTAACAGGCGTTAGATATAGACTAATACATTAATAGGTAGATAGATTTTACTTTCACCCTTGAAGAAAACACAAGGGGTAGACACAGTAAAAATCTCTCCAACTTTTAAGACAAAACAGACAAGGTGGACGGGTGAAAAGTGGTCCTGGGTACAAGCAACTGCCAAGGAAAATTTGCCAACGGTGGTGGCCTACCTGGGGTTGGGAGATGTGTGCACTGCGTGGCACACACAGGCTGCATGGTCGCTCACACCCACTGTACCCGGGGCACACCCCTTGGTCCACACCAGGGGCAGCCGCGAGGCCCCGCAGGCAGAGCAGCGATGAGCTCTGACTTCTGCCCTGGCAGGTGGCACCGCCCATCACTCACATGGAGGGTGGGCTGGAGGGGGCTGGATGAAGCAGGAACACCAGGCCCGAGATGTCCAGCCAGCAGGTGGGCCACGCCCAACCCTAGACACTGGCCTGGAGTCGGGAGTGGCCCTCAGGGCATGAAGAGCATGAACACAGGAAAAGCCTCTCAGAACCCCTCTGCCTGCCCCCTTGGGGACGTCCCTTGCGCAGGTGTGACAGCTGTGGGCGCCACCCCACTCCCCACTGCAGCCACGCTGCCTGACTCCTCCAGGACTCACCCCCAGCGCCGACACAGCCACACACCGCCTCTGGTGAATCAGAGCCAAGGGGAAAAAGCTGGTGACGGATGGCAGGAAAACCCAGGGAAAGGGTTTTACTGCGTGAAAACCACATTCCCACGTGTCCCCACAGCAGACACAGCCCTTCAAACGAAAACACTGCGCCCACGTGGGTGATACATGCAGAGAAACCCACCATTCAAAGTTCGGAAAAGCCTCAGCCTTGGCCCAGCCCCTTCAGCCCAGCAGCAGGGAGGGCAGCAAGCCCGCAGCCAACGCTGCTCTCAGGGTGAACGGCGGAGGGTGGCTCTCCAGGGGTCCTGGGGAGATGGCAGAAGGGGCTCTGCTTCTGGCTGGGCAGCAGCTTCTTTAGCCACTGCTGGTCAGAACTCTTAGCAGCAGGAAACTAGCAGGTGGCTGGATTTAAACTGAAATAAGATCAAAAGATTCACCAAGGCCTGGCGCGGTGGCTCACACCTATAGTCCCAGCACTCTGGGAGGCCGAGGCAGGAGGATCTCTTGAGTTCAGGAGTTTAAGACCAGCCCAAACAAGAGACCCCGTCTCTACTAAAAATAGAAAGAAATTAGCTGGGCAACTAAAAATAGAAAAAATTAGCCAGGTGTGGTGGCGTCTGACTGTAGTTCCAGGTACTTGGGAAGCTGAGGCAGGA